GTACCCATAATGTGCTGGGGTAGCTGTGCTTACACAATACAGACCATAGGTAATATTTTATTAGTATGCATTGATATGTGTTTTGGACTGTAAGCAGAGAGTTGAAAACAGCAATCTTGGCTAGTAAAGACCAATGGTTGCACTGTTCATGGATTTAGTTACCATCATCCTTTGTAAGGGGAGGGTGTCATGCATTGGTAAGGGGCCTTATCAGTCCATCCTTATGAAACCAATTTTTGATGGTTTCAAAAAACAGTGAAGTTTTTGCACATTATCAACCTGTGTTGAATCTCCTGTTTTTGAAAAGTTGCAGCAAAATAAGTGTGGCAGTATCTAGTACTCATAAGTGATCTTAAAGCAGTGAATATGTAGAGCAGGGGTCAGCAACCGCTGGCACATGTGCCGAGCATGGCACGTGAAGCCATTTTGCTCGGCACACCACTGCCAGCGTGGGCTCTAGGCAGCTGCTGCCAGCCATGAAGCCCGGGCTGCTCCCAGCAGGCAGCTGGGCTGCTGCAAGCCCTGCTGCAAGCAGACCGGGCTTCGTGGTTGGCAGCAGCAGATATTTGTAGCCTCCTGGCTGAAACCGGCCCAGGCTCTGGGTAGCTGCTGCCAACCACGGAGCCCGGTCTGCTTGCAGCAGGGCTTGCAGCCACCCAGCTGCCTGCTGGGAGCAGCCCGGGCTTCGTGGCTGGCAGCAGCTGAGCCTGCCTGACTCCCACCCGCTCCAAGCCCAGCATCTGGTTCTGTGCATCTGTGTGCGCACACATGTCTGGTTGCAGATGTTTGTGTGCATGTGTCTGTTCTGGGTGTGTTCTGGTCCTCTGTGTTTGTGCATGTGGTTTTCTGTGTGCGTGTAGTGTGTCTGGTTCTCTCTCCGTCCTCCTTTTTTCTTTCTCTCTCTCTCGTCTTTCTGTTATTTGTCTCTTTTTTTTCTCTTGCTCTCATTGCAACCTGCTTGACCAAAAAAGGAGTACAGCACAACAAAGGCAACATTTATGGTTATTAAATATACTAATATGCAGTGCATCCAGACATGTACCACCCCCCCCCACCACCCCATTTTGTTTTTCCAGCACTCTGGCACCTTCCAAGGTAGACATTGTAGTTTTTTTGGCACTCCAGCCAAAAAATGTTGCCTACCCCAATGTGGAGAGAGAGAGACTGACATATGCAGTTTCTATCAAGAATGGATGGAATTGTATGTGATTTTAAAACAAAATAAATATTTCTTTTAATTGACTAGTGCTGCACAGTTTCTGCGTAAAATGGCTGATCCTCAGTCCATCCAGGAATCCCAGAACCTTTCCATGTTTCTTGCCAATCACAACAAGATAACACAAGTGAGTTTTAACAGTCTTTTCAAAATATATATCTGTTATTTTGTAAGTTTTCAGTGTTGGACTGTTAATCTTGCTAAGGAAAAACGAGTAGGATAAATATTCTTATTTTTCCTTCTAGTCTTTACAGCAACAGCTTGAAGTGATTGCCGGGTATGAAGAGCTGCTTGCAGATATTGTGAATTTGTGTGTGGACTACTATGAAAATAAAATGTATCTAACACCCAACGAGAAACACATGCTTCTAAAAGTAAGAGCTCTTAAAATACATTGTAAGGTTTAACAGTGATGGGGGGGCAAGATCACAGATGCTGGTGAATTCACTTCATGCAATCCTTTCTTTTTTATATTTTTATTATTTTCCCAGAACCAGATAACTTAAAGTGATTAATTTGGTAATATGTATGTGTAATAGTTCTATCTCCTTTGTCTTTTTTTTTTCTCTAATCTGTATGACATGCTGATGATCTTTTTAGAAAGTATCTAATTAGTTGTATTTTGCACAGTTTGAACTGCAGCCTTGGTAAGAAAATACTTATGTGAAATGTAAGAAAGGCCCAATGGAACGAATACATTTTATTTTTAGATGGGTGGCGTGCTTGCATGAGAGACTTGTGGAGGAGGATCTGCATATTCAAATTTCCCAGGGTTAGATAGCTTAAAAATAATGAATAATTGGTAGATTTAGTAATTTTGGAACATGCATGTATTGTCTAATGCTGGAGAGAGGAAAATGGGAAATGTGCTTATTTAAGTATAGTCGTTTTAGCTTTACGCCTCTTAATAGGTGACCCTGTAAAGGTTAAAGGTGTGAAATAGATCTTAAAATACCTTCAGTTATGGCAAGTTCTTTGGTAAGATTCTGGGTGTTGAATTGTTACAGAGTTATACATTTGTCAGGTAAAAGGTAAAATATGGTGGCACCAAGTGTGAACTGCAGAATGTACATCTTCTACCCAGTAGGCTGTTGACAGTGCTGCAAGGTGCTACAGGCGGCATGCTTGCTCCAGACTTTTCCAGTACTGAGTTGTGTTGCAAGTGTAGAATTATAGCTAATTTGATTCTGGGATTAAACTTAATTTTTTCTAGAATGCATCAGATTTTTTCTATGTATAAACCTAAGGTTTATAAAAAGTAACAGCTTGACAATGTTTGACCTAAGCTGCTGTTATGTAACAATCTATATCCATCATTTTAATAATAGAAATTCAAATACCTATCTAGAAACAGACAAATGAAAAAACCCCACAAAACCAAACCTTTATCCCATCTAAATTAATATGCCTGACCTTTATGCAGTGAAACTGTTCTCTCTCACATTTATCAGGCCAGTACTAATTGAAAAAATTACTTCATGCTGTTGTGACTGTAAATCAAAAGTATAGCCCAAAAAATTAAATGTGTATTCATGAGGTTCATTTTTTTTCCCACTGGAAGTGCCTTGGTTTTTCTTATGAGTGTTTATTTAAACAGTAATGTATTTTTGTTGTCAATAATCACTAAATTATTCCTTATGACTTTGTCTTGCACTGAAAAAATGTATGGCTTATTCTGTTTTCAGGTAATGGGTTTTGGATTGTACCTGATGGATGGAAGTGTTAGCAACATCTATAAACTAGATGCAAAGAAAAGGATAAACTTGACCAAGATAGACAAGTTTTTTAAGGTTGGTTAGAAAAGTAACTCTTTTACAGTTCAAACATTCTAACTTTTATATTTAAAGGTGACTTTTTCTAACTTTTGCTAACTACAGTATTACTTTTCAGCCAAATCAGTGGTAATTAAATGATGTCACTTGAACTCTATATGCTGTTTTTATCGTCTGACTAAGCTAAATTCTAAGTTCTGTCTGTCTCTTAAGAAAAGCCACATTACTGCTCATCTGAAACCAAATAAGTTCATAAATGCAAACATTAAAAGGATTTATTTTAGTTTTTTAAAACTTATCTGATCTGTTTTCTTCCTTGAGTACAGCAGCTGCAAGTGGTCCCACTGTTTGGCGACATGCAGATTGAACTGGCAAGATACATTAAGACTAGTGCCCATTATGAGGAAAACAAATCCAGGTAGGAACACAGTCAAACACTGTGGATGGAGAAGAAACAGAGTCTTATGCGATAAATTGTCATAAAATCCTGCTGAAGTCAGTGGGTCTCTGGTAACTGAGGACTTGTCCTTTGGCTGCTTTAGCAGCCATGTGGTAATAATGTGGATACTTTATTAGTTGGGAGTGTTATTTTTATTACTGAGCTTTTTAAATCGCAAGTATAACCAAAGGAACTGCCTAGAAAAGGCCATTATTTTCATGCCATACACAAATAATCGAGCCCGTCCTTGAACCATTACCACTCATTTCTGTCAGTTCTGTTCTGTCCTGTTGGGCTGGGAGAAATAAATTTAGTGCCAGAATATTTAAACTTTCACCTTACACTAATCAATTTTTCTTTCTTTCCTTTAAATGTGTAACTTTTCTTTAAAAGAAATGAAGGATTGTATTAAGGTGAGCTCTAGTGCATGGCAATAGGCATGTGTACAGTATATTTGGAGCAGCCACTTAGTCTGCGTCCCTTCTTCCCAAAATTGTCAATGAGTGTGCACCACAGCACCATGGTTGGAAGATGCAACTGGCAGACGAATTTTCACCATTGTATTTTTGGTTGTGAGCATCTCTGTGCTCCTCCTAAGACCTTCCCTCCCATGTAGTTATGAATTATTTTAAATATAGTGCTTTGCATTTTAATTCTTGCAGAAGAGCTGTGCAACTTGCATGTAATTGATGAGACAAAAAGCAACAGTTGGATGGAGATACTAAAGCATAAGCTTGGGGGTTTTTCTTTCATTGTGTATTGTTTAACTTGGCACTCTTGGTACTAGTAGCATGTCCTTTGTGTCCTTGTTATCACCATTTTAGGCAAGTATGCAATACTTTTACAAACATACAGTATCTGATAGGTTCTAGGGCGTAAAGAAAATACTTTAAGGCAGTTGTGAGGGGTAGCTCCTGTGGCCTGTGCTTCCATAAAGAGGAAGAAGGGCTTTGTGTATGGATCAGCATCAGTCTTTACGTTTAAAGAGAATTGTGTGGGCTCAGGGGGACATCCAATTTCTAATTCTTGTGACCTAGAGTGAGCAAGAGACCGTAACACAACTCCTAAAAAAGGTAATGAAGAACTAAGTGGCCAACAGCATTTTCTGCTTTGTGGTGGACTTTATATCAGTTCTGGTATCTGTATCCCTTCATAAACATCAAAATTCATTTGCTGTGTGGTTTTTTTTTCTCCTCACCTGAAATAGATGGACATGCACTTCTTCCACCAGCAGTCCCCAGTATAATATCTGTGAGCAGATGATCCAGATCAGAGAGGACCATATGCGCTTTATTTCAGAGCTGGCTCGTTACAGCAATAGCGAGGTATGGGACTGTATCCCTGTTCTGTGCAAACAGTACTTAAGTAATGAATGGTTGTTACAGTTAGAGGTAAGAGATGTGGGTAAGCTTCAGAGCGCATCAGTGCACTCTGTTATTTAACCAGCTGCATGAAGGAAAGTTGCATAGGAGGCTGGGCTGCTGTCTCCATGTTTGTGCAAGTTTCTAGGTGTGAACTATGGTCACAATGCTGCCTTTCATGCTGAATTTGTATAACTTAGAGGCAAGGATTTTGGGGGGTGATATCTTTTATTGGACCAGTTGGATTGTTGGGATAAAGTTAATGTTGGGGTCAAGTTGCATTGTTGGGATGCTTTCATATGGAAGGCATTCTTCAGGCGGCACTTGTCAGCATTGTGTATATGCATAGCATTATAAATAAAAGTGTAAGTTGAGAGAGCAGTGTTCAAAAAGTATATTTTTCATTTTTCCCCTCAGTAAGATAGATATGAGGCCTTACTTATTGATTTGGTCTACAGCAGTGTTTGGGCATTATAGAATACCAGTGCTCTGTCTCTGGCTATTGTAAATATACAGCTAAGTTTTTATCTGGGATTTAAAAAGGGCTGGAATTGGTGCATTGTGTGTAAACAGCATTTTCTTTATTTCCAAAACAAAATTAGTGCTGCACCCTATGTTTAAAGCTTGCGTTTATTTAACTTTGTCCCAGGTGGTAACTGGATCTGGACGTCAAGAAGCTCAGAAAACAGATGCAGAGTATCGGAAACTATTTGATCTTTCCCTCCAGGGGCTGCAGCTCCTATCTCAGTGGAGCGCGCATGTTATGGAAGTGGTATGTTTCCTGGGCAGCAAAATTGGCAAGAGGGAGCTTTAAGGAGAGCAGATTGCACAACAAGGTTCAATGGTGTACACTTCACTTTAAATATCTTTGTGCTCATTCTTCTTCTTTTGTTTTGTGGCCACTTATTTTTAACTGGGCAAGATGTGGGCTCAGATCTTACCTTTGCTTTTTAAGTGTCCAAAGCCTGTTCACCCCAAAATTGTCTCATTCCAAATACCTCTAAGACCTCTAGAGTCCATTTCCCATACATCCTGAGTTTATTCTTTCAATGGGAAGCCTGGTCCTGTCCCACCCTGCTGCTGTGTAGAGCTCCCATTCTGGCAGAGAGCAGCAGGCAGGTATGCACACTAAGAGAGGAGAATCCTGTTCTACTCAGACCCCTGCAGTTCTTCCTACTGAGAGCTTTAGCGGCTGCCTTAGGCACTTTTGTCAAATCTGGATCCAGCTCAGTCTGATCCACCAAGAGAAGAGGGATCCTACAAACTTGGAGAGGATGTCTGCCTGTGCATCTAACTCAGGGTTGGGCAAGTATTTGGGTCTGAGGACCACATAGGCAGTTTTGAGCTGTTGTTGGCTGGGTCAGCGCCCGCTCCCCTGCAAAAGCTCACCAAAACTCCCTATATGTGATTGGGCCCCTGGCACTGGTGTTCAGGAGTGGGGCAGGTGGGCAATGCCAGGATCACAGGGTGGTGACAGTGTGGGGCCAGGGCTGGGTCAGAGCTGTGATCCACTGCCCACACACTCCTGTGACAGGTGTGGGTTCCCTGGGCAGGGTCATGTAGGGAGTGGATTGCAGCTCTGCTTTGGCTTAGCTTTGCACTGTCACTTGCTTCTCAGTCTCAGCCTGGGATGCAGCTCCCTACCTGACCATGCACTCTCTGACTCCCTGTGTGGCCATGTGCTACGTCCAAGGCTGGGATCTTATGGCGGTGACAGCACGGGGCTGAGGTAGAGCTGGAAGATGCTGCTAGCCATTGCTAGGGGGCTGCAGCACCGATGGTGAGGGAGATGGGCAGGGGACAGCCGCATTTCACCACCAAGCCTGCCAAGTGGGGGGAACGTAGCCTTCCTCCCCTCTCCCCTTGCCCATCCCCTCCCCTGGCCTGCGGCACACAGCCTGCAGGTGGGGATAAGTGGGGGTGGACTTGGTGGTGACTCCACGTTGCTTGGGATGGGGGCAATGCTTGCCCTGCCACGCACTTGGAAGTGGTGGCCAGGACTGGGCCTGGGCTGGGGAGGCAGGCAGTGCTGGGGCTCCCCTGTGCCATGCTAGCCTGCAGCTCAGCCTGGGATGCCTATGCAGGGTGGCAACCTCCAGCGCTGCTGGCTTGGCGTGGGATGTAATACGTGAAGCAGTGCAGTGCGAGCCCTGGTGATGGCATTGTGTCCAGGGCTGAGGCCAGGGGCCAGTCTCCATGGAGGCTGGTCAGGAGCACGTGGGCAGGGTGGGACTAGCTACATGCACCATGGCCCAGGCTGCCCTTGTACCTGGGCAGGCAGGGCCAAGGGACTCACTTTGGGCTGGGCAAAATCGCTCCAGGGGCCGTATTTTACCGACCCCTTGTCATGGTGGCAGGAGGATATGCTCAGGTGGTCGTACTGGATTGCCTCTGAGCCCATGCAGTAAGTGAAATCCAGATGTCTAGGGGATGTTTCAGGCCAAGATGGGGACGTGTAAGAATTGCAGATGTCTTAGCCAAATTCTGGCTGTTGCACAGGGTGGAACTGGGGTCATATTTAGCTACTTGAGTGTAATTTATGCAGCTTTTAGGTGCCTGAGATGCCACAAAGATAGAATAGGATCTGGGTGGACCCAAGTGGTATTCTCTCGTGATGTTGGTAACACTTGTGCTGATCGAGTGATAAAGGTCCAGTAGTCTTTCAGTGGATGGCACTGAGTTTAAGATCTGGTGATCTCCTTTGAGTCATAGGCAGCTGTTTTTTATTCTGCTTTTGAACACACATTTTGTGGTTTTAAAGCACTGTTTATTTTTTCTAGAGTGCAACTTTAACTCATATGTTATAGACTACATTACCAGCGCACTTCCCAAAATTAAACAGCAGATGACACATGATGCAAGGAAAGCCAAACCGTTGTATTTTTGGTGAATAAGTGAAAGCCAAGATGGCCTCATTTAAAGCCCACAAAAATGGATGGAAAGACTCCCATTGGCTTTGGAGGCCAATAAACAGAGAGATAATAAAGGAGAAAAGCACTTTAAAGCAGGGATCAGCAACATACGGCCCCACTGCATCTGGCCTGCAGAGCTGTGGGGCTTTGCTGATGCCTGTGCTAGAGCTAGGCAGCAAAGAACTGTGCTAGGGCTGGGCAGTTTTCAGCTGTACCTGTGCTACTGCTGCTCTTTCTCCCCACCCTCCCAGCTCCAGTCCAACTCAGGCCAGGTGATTTCAGCCATGTGCCTGTACTGGGGGCTTTGCTTGGCCACATCAGTGCCACTTCTTTTCCCTTCCCTGGACTGTGGCATGGCCATTGCTTCCAGGTGGTGGGGAGCTGTGCCGGAGCTGGTTCTTGGGGGAGGGGGGGGAGAGGAAAGGGGGCAGAAAAAAGCAGCAGCACAGATGTAGTTTGCAGCTACCTGCTCCTGGTTCAGTGACATACTGCCTGGAAGCTGTGCCTGCACTGCAGCCAGGGAGTGAAGGGAAGGGCAGGGAAGCAGCAATAGTGTGGGCACAGCTCCAGTCTGCTGAAGCCACCTGGCCTGCATTGGACCAGAGCTGGGCTGTTCTGGCCTGCAACTTGTAAAATTGCTGGTCCCTGCTTTAAAGAAAAGGAGAAGGACAGATGAGATAAGGAAGTGTGATGATTTAGTTGCATCTTTTCTCCATCTTTTTAACAGCTTGTCTTGAAAGCAGATTTCAATTAGGGAAGCAGCTAGAAAATCTGCACCTTTGACTTAACTAACACCTTGCTTAAATATAAGGGAGCAGTTGAAAGAGGATGCTACAGTTACCCCTTCCGCATCTCTGGCACTCCTGCCTTAACTCTGTATACCCTGTACCAAAGCTTAAACCTAAACAGGCTGCAGGTACATAGAAGCTGTAGTCTGGAGGAATCTGTCCAATAGATCTTCTGGAAAGTATTAATTTTGCCATGTACCTTCTGTCAGAAAGTTGTTTTAGAACTTAATGTAGGCTATTAAAGCCATGTGGCATTTTTTTTTTACCTTGAAGTCCCCACTAAGAGTGGTGAAAGTCTGCTTAAAATAATATCTGCTTTTAAATAATGGTATTGTCTGGGATTTTTGTTGCATGTCTTTTTCAGTTCATTTTTTTCATATATCTTGCTTTGTTTACCTGTGTGCATTGCAGTATTCATGGAAGCTAGTGCATCCAACTGACAAATACTCAAATAAAGATTGCCCTGACAATGCGGAAGAGTATGAAAGAGCAACACGATACAATTATACCAGTGAGGAGAAATTTGCTCTGGTTGAGGTAAAAGAAATCTGTTTATTTCATTGCGATCTGGACTTTTCCATTCTTTCATCAGATTGTAGTTTTTTTTGTTTTGAAGGAGAAGTTTGTTTGCACATACACATGCATGGATATGTAATGTAATGTATTTTTTCCCTCCAGGTTATTGCTATGATTAAAGGCCTTCAGGTGCTGATGGGTAGGATGGAAAGTGTCTTTAACCATGCGATCCGCCATACCATTTATGCTGCTCTGCAGGACTTCTCCCAAGTCACGCTTAGAGAACCATTAAGACAGGCCATCAAAAAGAAGAAAAATGTCATTCAGAGGTAATGACACATTCTTATCCACCATCCAGATGTTTTCCCCACATATTCTACTATTTAAAAATTGCTTAGTGTTAACTTTCACCTATCTAAACTTTAGTTTTCATATCCCAAGCCAGGGTTTTTTTTTGAGTATTTTAGTCTAAGGTGCTGACTGCCAGTGTTCCCTCTGAGCTGCGTGCGTGTGCGGCGGTGCACAAAAGAAAAATCATGCTGCGCAACAATGGGGGACCCACGCACACCTACCTACTGACCTCAAGGAGGGGGAACCAGTTGCGGGGCAGACCGAAGCGGTGCACGCCAAAAGGGGGAGGTGGGACCAATTTGGGAATGGACTGCAGCAGCACACTCACGGGACACTCATGGACCGCTACACCTTAGAGGGAACATTGCTGACTGCTAATTTAAAGTCAGACAACCAGAAGAGGTAATGAAGTGTAATGCTACCAATACCACTAATTGTTTTCAGTGTCCTTCCTTTTTATTTTAGAGAGACTGGTGGCAGTCTCACTGATGATTTCAGTACTTCATTTTGTAGTAGTTCACTCTGTTCTTAGCACTTCAGTATTGTCCTCTGCTCCCCAGCCCAAATGGCATCCTGTTGTAAACTTATTCCTCAGCTTTTTATGATGCCTTAGCCTGCTGACCTTATTCACCACTTACCCAGTCTTCTTTTCCCTGGAAGCCACTAGTTCCATTTCTGACCTTGTTTTAATGCATCCAACTGTTGTGTTGACTCGTGACCCATACTTTTGATTTACCCTGTTGCTGAAGAACCTTGTAGGTGAACACTGTTGACTGGTTGGTCATGTTAATGCCAAATTCTTCCATTTTCCACAAAAAATACAAGGCATGGTAGAAACCTTCCAATTATTCCAAATCTGTAGTTTTGCAAATAGATTGTTTTACTGTGTGTTGCGGTGGCTTTTTTAAATAAATGAAATGAATATATTTAACTTGCCATCTGAGATCTTCTAGGTATGCAAGAATGTTTTTCTTGAGCCCTGAAAGTAACATTTTCCTATATGTCTGAATGTGGGAGGTGAAGTTCATTTGATCACTGTGTATTCTATGCAATGTTTAGAAGTCTTGTAACAAGTGATTGCAGTCCATTTCAATACATAGTATTCATGGTGTTAGGACTGATGAACTTTTTGAATTTGGCGGGTTGTATTTCCAACCTTTCACATGTGGGGTTTTTGTGTTGTTTTTTTCAAATGCTCATTACATTCCAAAAGAATCTTGTTCTCTTTGGATTTTGACAATTTAAAATATATCATTAACTTACTGTAATCCTTACTAAAATATTTGAAAACGGGAGCTTTCTCTGATATTATCTGTTTATTCCTCAGACCTGCTTTATTCAACGGTAAATATCATTGAATGCTGTTTTATGTTTGCCTCCATGTTAGTGAATTATGATGCCCTAAATTATTTATCTCTCTGTATATTGCCAAACTTAGCTATCAGTGACAAAAGCTAAATATTGTATTTACTCTAATAAAGACAACCCTGAATAGATGACGACCCCCCCAGTAATTAGACTCTGTATATGGAAAATTTATAAATTTGTTTTCCAGGTATAGAATCTAATCAGTCATTGGAGGTATGCCTTGAATTTGTAGTTCTTCCACTGCTACAGCAGAGAAAATAAACCTGGGGCATTAGGTAGTCCCTTTGCCCTCTGCTCCTCCCAACTTCTTCCCCCTGCAGCCTCTTCACCCCTTCCTTATTGTGAGAACCTGCTCTCCCTGAGCACGTAAAACTGAGGAGGAAATCTGAAAACACTGACTTTGACATAAACACAGCTGCAGCAATTTGGATATAGTACCCATAGACTTAGTTCATCTGGAACTAATGCAGTTTACCTTTTTTGAAATTGCTGCAAGTTTTAGCACAGGTACTCTAGAAACACACTTTTAAGCATCACATTTGTACCTGTGTATACATAATACACACTGGGTGCGTGTACCTATGCAACTGAGGTGAAAAAATAAACTCTGGCATAGTTTATGCCAGAGTACACTGCTCCTGGGCTGAGCACCTACACATGTGCCCAGGACAGCAGCACTTTGAGTCAGGACAAAGTAATGCCAGGCTGGCAGGAGTATGGGGGGTGAGCCCTGGGCTGTGGGTGGTAGTGTCAGGTGGTGGAGGGGCTGCCTGGGGCATGTGGGTGCTGAAGTGGGGGGCAGTTAGCAGGCAGACCCAGCCCTTTAGCACCCTTGTGCCCCAGCGAGACCATCACAATCTCCACATGTGTTTCAGCACAACAAATTACTCCGCTGTAAGAGAGTACTGCTGTGGACAGTACTATCTTATGATGGAGCTAATGAATTTACTGAGCCTTAATACCAGTGCATGTGTAGATAGTGATGCTTTACTGCAGAGATAATTAGTCTACTCTGCAGTAAAACGCATGTGTAGATGCACCTACTATGCATGATATTAGTCCAAAACCAAGAGACTTGCAACTTACCATATAGTTAGGTTGGGTCCCAACAGTATTTCAAGTCATGGTGACCCTACAGCTCATCATTTCTCAGTATATATGTGTATTCCAGATATCCCACGCAGAGGATCCATGTGATGATAATGGTCTGCTCATGATTGGAACCAGGCATTTCTGTCATGAGTCCTGGGATCCTCCAAAAATTTATTTGGAGATGAGGTTCAGGACAACCTGGGTCTGGCTCCACCTCATGGAAGGTGGTGCCACATTAATCACATGCAACAGGCTGAGGGAGGCTGAGGTGACAGAGATTCTTGGTGAAGGTTGGGCCTCCATTTGGTGGTGTTTGTGAGACATTTGAGGTTAGTGAAGAAACAGGAATCATTGGAAATGGAAAAGAATGGCACAGCTCAGCTGAGGGAGTGAAGTAAAAATGTATAAAATATAGTGGCTCATTATGACTTGAATGAGTCAGTGTTGTGGGGGGCAGTGCTCAGTGGGCACTAGCATACATCTTATTCAACTGGGCTGCACTAACTTATCCATCAGCATATTTGCCCAGCATAGGTCGTGTGTTTTATAGTCATGCTCAGTGGGTACACCTATACGAGACACTTACTGTGCAATTGACTAATTAACTGTGGAGTAAATGTCTCAGCCTCTACACCTGTGGCTCTTTGAGGGCACATGAAACAGCAGGGTATTGTGTGCAAATATAAGTACTATCCTATTGTGGAGCATTTTCATGTGCAGCAGCACACATGCAGTCACTGACTGGCTGGCTGGGGCATGAGGATGCTTCAGTGTTGGGGCTTCCTGCCGGCTGGTCCTGTGCTGAAATACTCTTGTGTCCCAGCCAGTCCCTCTGCAGCATATTGAGCTTGGTTGGAGAAGCCCTGGGCTGACAGGCTGACTCCCAGGGTCCCCTGCCAGCCTAGTCAGCTTCTCTGACCAGGCTCCATCTGCTGCGCATGAATAAACTCTGGAACTAATTGCTCCAAAATTTGTTGCTCTTGGGCACATGTTCAAATGGCGTGCCTGGGAGCACAAAACTATGTAGCAATAAGCTCCAGAGTTTATTCATGTGCACTAATTGTATGTGTGGACACACCTAGTGTTGGCTGTATTTAATCAGCTTAATGGTTGGTTTCCATTACTGATCATATACTGCTTTTGGCTTCAGTTCAATGATAGACAATATATTTAATACGGTGTCCTTGTTTGCAGATATAATTGAGGGGCTTTTTTCCCCATGCTGATTGCAGGGGAAGGGATGGGGGAGGTGGAGACCTCGTATTGTACTTGATTAAATATGGTACTCTTGAAGTATCACTTGGAAGAATATTTGCTAAAATATAGCCCCTTTTGGAGATCTAATTTCATGTGGTTGTGAAGCTTGCATTTACATTTTTCTGAATACTAAAGTATTTTGGATTGTGCTTTTAGTGTTCTTCAGGCCATTAGAAAGACAGTTTGTGACTGGGAAGCAGGACACGAGCCATTTAATGACCCAGCATTAAGAGGAGAAAAAGACCCCAAAAGTGGTTTTGACATCAAAGTTCCAAGGCGAGCAGTTGGACCCTCTAGTACCCAGGTATTTCCATGTGTTTTCTCTGTGGTGATTATGGTGCTTGGGTCATGGTAACAGGTATTGTTTTTTGTTTTGTTTTGTTTTGTTTTTTTTTAACTGTTGAGCCCTTTCCAAATCTGGAATGGATTTTAGATTGTTCCAAAATTTCAGTTTTATACATATCTAAATATAAAGCAATTTAAAGCATTATAAATTTTAGATTATGCCAAATTCTCTTTCTGGGGTGGTCTAGGTATTTTCTTCTCTGGTAATTCTTTCCCAAGGTGTTACACTTCCATAAGTTCAGCTTATTCCAGAGAAATGCTCATACATTAAATCTATGCCTCCCTTTTTTTCCTTTTTTTCTTTCTCAGCTTGTTTCCCGTCCTTCCAAACTAAATTGCCCTTGTTTTCTTTAAATCCAGTCAATCTATAGGTAGGGACCTGCCAAAACCAGCTCCCAAGTGAGGTGGTGCAGGCTCCCACCCTGGGGGTTTTTAAGAGGAGGTTGGATGACCACCTTACTGGGGTCGTTTGACCCCAGTGCTCTTCCTGCCATGGCAGGGGTCGGACTAGATGATCTGCTCAGGTCCCTTCCGACCCTAGAAACTATGAAACTAGGAAAATCCAGGAGGCAGGCATCCGATTTCACACACAGATTGTGGGGCAGGCTGCTGTTTTCATAGTGGCCCCAACTTTCACTGCTGATTGGCCAAGAGGGCTGCTTGTCATGCAGCCCTGCCCTTCACCGCTGATTGGCCAAGACAGGTGGAGCTGTGTGATGGGTAGTCTCTTCATTCAATCAGCGGCAAGGGGTAGGGGCGGCCGCCATCTTGGCTGCTCACCTTTGTCCCAGCTCCCCACTGGGAGCCAGCAATTTTATTTTTATTTTTAATTGTTTTTTATTTTTATTTTATTTTATGGGCAATGCCTGATCTCATGATTTTTGCAAAATTGCAAATTGGCAGGGTTGCCAACTCTGGCTGAAGCTATTCTTGGAGATTTATTTTTTTTTCCCCAGCATGATGTAATGTCATTAATTGTACTGTTCGACCCATTCACAATGTCAGTCTCCCTGGTTGCTTTCAGTAGTCACTGGGAGATCGATGCCGATTCCGGTAGACTCCCGGCCAATCCAGGAGGGTTGGCAACTTTACGAATTGGGTGGGTCCCAATCTATAGGACGTGCTATATGTTTGCCTTCTATCCTTGTGCTTTGTCTGATGGATGTTGTGCACTTGGATTACTTTTGTTTCTACCTTTATCCCTTAATTTTGTAGTCTTTGCCTTATGGTGTATGGAAATTCCCCTTGAAATTGATCTCATGTTTGCCCTCTCTAATCTTAAGCAGTATTTTCAGATATTCTTTGCAGGAAACACTAAAGCCCCATGTATAGAAACTTGCCTCTTCTTCCTTTCTGTATGGGATTCCACTCTTTCTCTGTTTTGAGAATATTTGTTGGTTTTTCTGGTTGCACACTTATAGTTGATTGAACTCTGAGCATTTTGGCAGGTAAAATGGGGGGAGTTGTGATTTATAAATAAAGCCATAGTAATTCCTAACATCCTATGTAGGTAATACTTCACTATTATTTATGGATGATTAAATGGGTTTAGAAAAAAAATGTTCTGAAAGGTGTTTGGTGAAAATTTTGTTTAATCAGATCACCCTGTTTGTTCTAATAATAATTTGGTTTCGTATATTGCCACCAATATTTTTTCTCTTACTTTCATTTATGTTTAAGGACTTTGTTTAACTGTCTGTTGCAAACTGATTTAAAATGCTTTCTTCTATCCTTTCTCTATTCTTGGACCTAACCCTTTTTTGGCTGAAGAGGGAAACAGTTTATATTAACTATTAGGTGACAGCTATGTCAATGTTATGTAATTTCAAATTAATAATGTGCTGTATTAATTGCACTGAGAAATCTTAGTAAAATCTTTTGATAAAGAAGGTAATCAAGTAGGTCCAGATTCAATACTTATTAAAAATCAGTGGAAGTCTTTTTCATTGGCTTTTAATGAGCTTCAGATATGATGCTCACAAAATGACTTGGTCATATGAAGATACATGCCTGCTTACTTAAGAAGTGAATGTTTCCCTCACCATGCTTACTATATTGCTTTTAATTTTTAACATACTAATGCACATTTTTATCTGCTTCTATTTCCCTTTCCTTATTTACTCACATGTTTTTTATTAATGGATTCTCTCTCCCCTGCCTCTCCCTGTCTGTTGGTTTTTAGCTCTACATGTTTCGCACTATGACAGAGTCCTTAAACTCTGCTGAGCTGTTGAAGCAGCTCAAGTCTCTGGGAATGGAAAAGCTATTGCATGTGGCAAACAAGTTTCTGAGGCAGTCGTACATCTATCCACCTCTTTTAAACTTTGGTGGTAAGACATTGCTTATTATTTTAATTTTGTGGTGTGTGAACTGTTCCACTGCAAATTGTCTATTTCTGCATATTACTGGAGACTTCCTTAACTTGGTTAGGCATTTGAATTGGGTTGGACTATAACAGTCTCCTTTCTCCTTCAGGAGAAAGGCACTGCTTTTGTCCCGATGGTTTCAGTTTACAGTGGAGCAGTCACTTTCTGATTAGTATTTCTCAGTGTTACTTGACTAATGTACCGTGTGTATTTTCCCTTTTTTTTCCCCCCCTCCGCCACGTATTTTTCCTTTAATGATACAGCTTTACATGGTGAGAACTATGTTAGAGTCCCTCATTGCTGACAAAAGTGGTTCCAAGAAAACCTTGAGAAGTAGCCTTGAGGGGCCCACCATATTGGACATAGAAAAATTTCATCGCGAGTCTTTCTTCTACACTCATTTGATAAATTTCAGTGGTAAGATATGTAGATGATCAGTGTCCAGCCTAGCATGTCCTAACACCTTTAACACAACCTGGAAAATGTTTCCGATTGCCTAGACCAAGGAACTTTTCTTTGTCCTCATAAAACATTGGCCTGTCAGAACTTTGAAACCATACAAAGGAAGTGTTCAGCCGAGTTTTGCCTGGCCATATGTGTTGTGCTTAATGTTGTGTTTGTTTGTGTTTTAGTTTTTTTTACTGATGCCTCTTTTTTTATATAATAAGGGACATAAGCATCAAGCCTGTATAAATAGCCAAAATTCAAGAAATTATTTTTTTTTCTAGGGGAGAGTAACCAAATCATACTAAATTTAGTATCAGTTTAGTAGCCCCTCTGTGTTCAGTCACTTGTAATCGGAAACATATTATCCTCGTGGATTCACCTACTGACACTGAATGTATCTAGTTTTTGTCATCACCACGTTGTATTGTCTTGCATCTTCATTTTGTTACTGGATCCGCTGGCTCTCAGAGGAGGAAGGCTTGCTAATTCTAGTACTAATGCTTTCCATAAACAGCATTGTGTTTGCTTAGAAAAATGTTCATCTTTGGTTTGGTCCTCTAGTCTTTTGCAAATATTGCCTATTTTGTGTACTTTTCATGGAGATGCAGAAGAAATCTTCTGACCTCCTTTACAGGGTGCCCTTGGAGTTCTTCCAAGTTCCAGTCCCTCCCTTATTTGTGTCTTGTTCCCTGCTCTCCTAATCAGTGAAGGTCAAAAGGGCAAGTAAATCCTGCTGCTTAATCTGATGGTTGAAATGGTGATGATTGTTACAACACAATCTTGCCTGCCTTTTCTGACTGTCCTACCATGAACTGAAGGCCATTTTTAAAGCACTCTGACGGGGTTGGGAATAAAATCACTTGTTTAGTGGAGAGGGGCATCATGTGGTTTTGCCGCTGGCCCACAATGGCAATATTTTGTGTAGTAAAACACTTGGGGTGTTAGTGGCTCACTCTGGGTGTATTTGTATGTTGAGAGCTATTTAAAAACCTCACTGGCTTTACATCTGAAATTGATTTGTGCATTTGGCTTACCTTAGCTTGTACCTTACCTGCTTCTTAGTTTCACATTGCATCATCAGCATCACAGTTTTATCATTTTACAAATGTCTTTCATATGAGAACTATAATAATGTTGTGTCACTTATTCTGAAAGAAACTCTGCAGCAGTGCTGTGACCTGTCCCAGTTGTGGTTCAGAGAGTTCTTCTTAGAGTTGACCATGGGCAGAAGAATCCAGTTCCCTATTGAAATGTCAATGCCTTGGATTCTGACTGACCATATTCTGGAGACCAAAGAGGCATCAATGATGGAGTAAGTCTTATCTGCACTCCTTCACTGAAATGATTGTAAATATCATTCTGTTACCAACTCCTTGCCTTAACAGGTGTCCTCAAGCTAATGCTGAGGAAGTGTGATAAAGATTTATGTTTGAAGAGCTTTTCTTTCCTAGATGCCTGCTCTTTTATCTTGGCATGCCTTTGTGCATGCAAGTTCCCAAGGGCTCAATGATATCAGTCCTTTGAGAGACAGGCAGGCTAAACTCATTCTGAGATGAACTCTTAAGTGTTGCTTTGCTGGCCACCCAAACTTATGGCTGCAAGTTGATATTCTTTGAAGTCAGTAGTTTAACTCCAAAGGCAACAGGACTTAAGCTATATGGAAGTAAAATAGACATGAAAGGATATTTATGAGATAGGACAAGACCATCAGAAGAAAATGTAGTGATTCAAATTGTACTCTGTGTACTAAGTCTTGAGATGGATGTGTAGGAATCCTGTCAATACAGGGTCATCAAAGAAACAGAAGTGAATTGAATCATTATATTTTTCAGCATCCAAAGCCTATGTGTAAGGTAAAAGAAACTGAAATGATTAAGTACTATTACTGTTATTATTTCTGTCTACTCTTGAGACAGACCTGATTGTAATATTTCATGTTTATTTTTATTTCTGAGATTTCCTATTTACTTGCTTCTTATGGATCTTCAGGTTAAGTCCTATGAAAGTTCATGTTGTGTGGACATACTGTGACTGGTCTTCCACTCCATCCATCTTAATTCTTGTGCTTATTAAAAAGAACGTGGAGAATATTCTGGTAAATGTCTGTGAAGAAACAAACTCTGGGACTTGGCTGATAGTGCATTTTCCAGCTGTTATTTAAATCTGAAGGAACAAAATCTGGGTTCTCTTATTTTCTTGCTTGTTTGTTTGTTTTAAATACCAGATTTTTAAACTATTTCCTGTAAAAAGCATGAAGACATTCAACTAAGTTGTTCTGCTGATGCACTGTCTCTCCAGATTTAAATCATGGATGTCAGATATTTTATGGAGAGATTAAAATAACTTTTTAAAGTGTGTACCACTGTTAAAGATCTTAGGACAACAATCCACAGGTTCTTGTATCAATAGGAAGTTTTCATAAAGAAGCAGATGTGATCCTTATGCAATTAGCTAAACTTTGTTCTTTTCTAATCTTTAAATACCTCCCTGTCATATCATTGCACAGTGGGAAAACGCATCTGAAGCACAGTAGCTATTTCTTGTCCTTTACTTTTCTCTTTCCCAGATTTCTTGCATCTCCTTTTTTCCCTCTGCATTAAAACCCAAATCATTCCACATGGGTTTCACTCAGTCCAGCTTCCCACACCTTCTGCTAAAGTGAATAACAATGAAATGGGTAATTTTGATGTTTTTGAGGCCAGTAGCTTCTAAGTACTGTAGCCTTAGCCATATGGCAGCTAATACCTTTGGGTTCTTTTGGAAAATCCCTGTTTGAAATCCCATCTCTGGACTGTGGAGGTCTCAACCCTGATGAAAAGAATGGAGGCCAGAAAAATAACAAACTCTTGGAGCATTTGTTCAGGTTTTCTGCTTGCTACAGAAACAAGGGGGTATAGTGCATTGGTTTATATTTGCTTTACTGTTGGAAAGTTCACCTGGGACCACTTGGACTATAGACTATAAGGCTAGGGACAGATGTTCAAAAATCTGGAGCCTGACATTCACTTTTGACTTGGGGAAATGCAGGCACACGCCTAAAGTGACTCAGGCCAGAAGCCGGGGGTGGGGGTGGGGGCTACAGCATGCCCTTGGCTGCAGGGAAGCTGGGTTGGGAGTTGGGGGGAGGGCTTGGCCAACCCCAGCAGTAGCCTCAAGTGAACTGGCCAGGAAGGGGGTTTAATCCTCCCTTCCCTGTCCCAGCAGCATGGACCTGAGCCAGGGTCTGCATGGTGCTCTACCCTCATTGCTGCAGGGGTGTGGCCAGATGCCAGCTAGCGTGGCCCCCTGAGACAAAGGGGGCAGGGAGGGAGTTTATTTTCCCCTCTGCCCCCTCTACTCCTGGGAGGCTGCAGCCAGGGTTTGCTAGCTCTGACCGCCACTTTTACTGATCACCAGGGATCCTGGTTTTCCATGGAAAAACAGAGAAAACCACAGATTTCCCATTTTTATCAGAGAAAACACAAATTTCCCCTTTTGGAAGAGAAACCCATTGATTTTCCCCCTTTTGCAAAGAGCTCTGCAGGCTGGCTGAGTTCCAGCCTACAAGAGCTTTTTGCAAAAGGGGCAGGGAAACCCTCAACCCTGCTGGGAGGTGAAGGGAAGGGGGAAGGGCAGGGCCCAACACTCACACTTACCAGGGGCTGCTTCAGGCTTGCTCTTCTTGCTGAAGGTAAGTGGGGCTTGGGGGTTGTGGATCTGGGTTGGGGGGGAAGCTGGCTAGGGGCTGAAGGAGCGGGGAGGTTTGCAGCTAGCCAGGCACTGTGGCTGGGAGAGGTTTTGCAGCCTCCCCACACCTGGCCAGAGTGCTTGGCTGGCTGCAAACCTCCCAGCTCCCTCAGCCCCCAGCCAGCTTGGGCTCTCCCCAGCTGAGCACTCCGGCTGGGAGGAGGGTTTTGCAGCTGGCCGAGCACTCTGGCCGGGAGCAGGCAGGCTGCAAACCCCCTCTCAGCCAGAGTGCCCGGCCAGCTGCAAACCCTGGATGACAAACGCTGTGCTCCCTGCTCTGCTGCCCTCCCCCAGGCTCTCCAGAGCACAGCGTGTGACTGGCGCAGCAGGGCACAGTGGGGCCACGCACAAAAGCTGCCTGCCGCTGCAAGCTCTGTGCTGCCCTGGCCACACTTTCTCTGCGTGCATGGGACAGTGCACATCTGCCCTGCCCCCACCCCCTACACAGATTGGGGGTGGGGGCGTGGGTCCCTGCTACCCCCCAGGAGTGCACACTGCCACTGGGAGCTGGCCCCGCCCGAGCCTGTAGCAGGCACAGGGCGGGGGGAGCTGGCTCCTACTGTAGCAGCCACTGCCTTCTGTTGAGGGCAGGGGGCTGTGGACCTGGGTCCCTGGCCCCATAGCCCTGGCAGCTGGGGGCCCCCTTCAGCGGGGCTGTGGATGGGGAGCAAGGGGCACAAGCGGGGCTGTGGGAGGGAGCGAGGGACAACAGCATGGCTGTAGGGGGCATTTAATTTTAACCATGGATTTTGGGATTTTTATTGGAGAATTTGTGATTTAAAAAAAAAAAAAAAAAAAAAATCACGGAAAACATGATCCATGAAACACGATTTTTTGTTTATTGTGAATCTCTGCTGATCACTCCCTGCATGGAACAAGCAGCAGAAAAAGCCCCCTCCCTGCTCCTATCACCAGATGCTGTAGGGAGGGGAGAAATAAACCCCCTCCCTGTCTCCTTTGCTTAAGGGGGGCATGCCAGCCAGCCTCTGGCCATGCCCCTGACCCTGCTGCTGGAGTGGTGAAGGGGGAACGATCCTCCTGGGGCAGCAGCCCCTGTGGTAGTGTCCCAGGAGTGCAAGCCTCTTCCCAGTGGGGAGGCTGCGCTCTGGGTGAGAGTGGGGTAGGCAGAGCTGCTGCAGACTGTGTGGGGCACTGGGGCTTAGGGGATGGCCATAGCTCCTCCAACCCCCCCCCCCCAGCATGCTGCCACCGCTTGCCCCATGCAGTCTGTGGCAGCTCTGTCTGCCCTGCTCCCACCTGCAGCACAGCCCCCCTGCTGGGAAGAGACTTGAACTCCTGGGACACCATCACAGGGGCTGCTGCCCTGTCAGAGTCACTCCCCACTTGATGTTCCAGCAGCAGGGCCATGGCAGAGGCTGGCCGGCAGGGCCCCTTTAGGTGAAGGGGGCAGGAAGGGGATTTATTTCCGCCCTCCCTCTGGCCTCCGGCAAAGGAGGCAGGGAGGGGCCTTATTCTGCTACTTGTCCCATGCAAGGCGTGATCGGCAGAGGTGGTGGTCGGGGCTGGGAGACCCGACTGGGGTCCCCCAGGTGCAGAGAGGGCGTAGGGGGGAATAAACCTCCTCCCTGCCCCCTTTCTCTCAGGGGGCCATGCCAGCTGGCATCTGTCCATGCCTCTGCCCCTCCGACTGCAGCAATGAGGGTAGAGCACCATGCAGACCCTGGCTCAGGTCCGTGCTGGTGGGACAGGGAGCGGGGAATTAAACTCCCTCCCTGGCCAGTTCACTTGAGGCTACTGCTGGGGCTGGCCATGCCCTCTGCTGCTCCCGTGGTGACGGGGGGAGGGGAATGCCTTACAGGCGTTGCTCTGCCTCAGCCAGGCAGACCCTGGCTGGGGTCCCCGGGGTAGGGGAGGAATAAACTACCTCCCTGCCCCCTTTGCCTCAGGGGGCCATGTCAGCTGGTGCCTGGCCATGCACTTGGCCCTACAGCAGTGAAGGGGTGCAGATCCTGACACAGGCCTCTGCGCCTGTGCCTGGCAGACCCCAGCTGTGGTCCATGCTGGTGGGACACAGGAGGGAGCGGGGAATAAATCTCTTCCCTGCCTCCTTCACCTTAAGGAGGCTGGCATCTGCTCATTCCCCCTGCCCTGCCCAGGGCTGCAGAGCATGCTGGGATGCTGGGGGTTTAACTTAAACCAGGCAGGGGTCTGGGACAGAAGTTCCATGAACTGGTTTGACCGCAGTCAGTTAAGTCTCATACTACATTCAACCAGGCTTATCTCGGACTAGTGTCAGCCATTTTGAAACTGGTTTATGTATACTGAAATTTGGTTCTGTTAAAGGTTTAAACCAGTTTCGCATCACTTAAACTAGTTTATGTGTAATCTCGGTTTCTAACATAAGGGGCAGGGGAGCTTGTTAACTGTGTCAGATTTGTAAGCTAGGTCAAACTTGTCCACTGGGTGTTTGTCAAATCTTCTTGTAAGGTTCATTCCTTTGGTGGCATTTGGGAGTTAGATTTTTTGTGGCAGTGTAGTAGACTTGTTTTTCTTCTATACTGATCTTCTCAGGTGGGCTGAATTACAAAGAATTGCAATTTTTTAATGATCATTTCTTTTTTGCTGTCATGTTCACAAAACATTTTACAAACTGCAAGTATTCTCCAAGCATACTTGAGTGTGGATTCCACTGTGCTCCCATCTTGTGCTACGTGCCGCTGTAGACATGTCTGCAGTGCCACGTTCCTCACGGCTGCACTTGTCAGGATGCGGCTTTTGAGTTCAATTTCTAAATTTAATCTTTTGAAGAAATGTCTCACCTGGTGGCCTCCAGATGCTGAATTTGTTGAAGCCTTGCGTGACCTGCAGTGGGCTCAGCCAGCTGAATGACAGGGATAGCCAATGCCTCTTTTGTCTGTGGGAGAACCATATCCCTGAAAAGCATTGAATCTCTGAATCATTTTTGCAAATGACTTGTAAGTTAAGAAACACATAAGTAAAACTTTACTTGCTTAAGCAATCTATCAGAACTCAGTGGGGAATGAACATGGAAGGTGTCAGAAGTGCTGGTGCATGAGTACATGAACTCTTGGCATTGCTTTGCTGACCAAGTTAAAAACAAGGGCCAAGCAAAGGCCAGGCGTAACTCCAAAAAGAGAGGAACCACCCTGTAGAAAGAAGACGAAAGACGTTACTCCTCCAAGGACAGCCTGTCCAAGTCCTCCGCTACTGGAGCAGGATTAAGTGAGCCAGTATTGCCAGTACTGGCACAGGTGAAGAGCATCACACAGACATTGATCCAGTAAGCTGATGAAGAAGAGGAGGAGGAGATTTGTTTTCCCTGTGAAATTGCCAGAGCCAGAGGCTGGTACTGCACCCAGGAACTATATCAGCAGAACAAGGGAACCAGTTTCCACCAAAAGAATCGCCCTTATTGTAGATGAACCAGCCTGTGCTCTTATGTTTGAGGAGTTTTAAAATATTTCAGTGTCTTCTAACCTGTGTTGCAGACACTGGATGGTCATACAGAAAAGACTGAATAAACTCCTTGGTGCCTTGATCATGATGTCTTCTGTCAGGAGCTCTCCGTTCACCAATGAGGGCATTCTGGAGCCAGTCAGAGGTCTCCTGCAAACACAGGCGCCATTCAGCCTACAGTCTAAATAAGCAGCGAAACATTATCAGGTGCTTTCCAGAGATGTTGAGAGAAGTGCTACATATACTGTTCGACTGGTAGAACTTTAAACTAATTTCTGCCAACCTGCAGAGAAATTTCTTGCCCATCTCTTATAGTGGGATCTGTACTGACATATATTTGAAGAAGAAACAGTTGCTTTATGGTAACAGTAGTTTTAGAGCTGCTGTTCTCCGTGTGGATCCCATGACCTGTCCTTCCATTCCTACTTCTCGTGTTATTCAGCTAACATACTTTGACAGATGAAGGGACTGTGGTGGCATTCTGTTTGCTCTGCTTTTCTTGCCCTTGTGCAGGACTTTAGGAGGTACAGGGCACATGATGGCCCCAATGGACATGATAGGCATGATTGTTAAACAACAGCAAACCCTTTTCTTGTATGCATGGGGATTATGGGATTATGTGTACTTTGAAGTGGGATCTCCTCTGACTACAGCTTCTTGAAGACATCTAGAAACTTGAAGAAAGTAACCTTTTTCCGTATTTTTTTTCCATTCAGGTATGTTCTCTATTCTTTGGATCTTTACAATGATAGTGCTCATTATGCATTAACTAAATTTAAGAAGCAGTTCCTGTATGATGAAATTGAGGCAGAGGTAAGTTAATCTGATCATTTGGAAAAAAGTGGTTTGTGTCCTGGTGGGAAGGCTGATGTTATAGGTGACGTAACATTAATGGAACAATAGTTACATCTTCAAAGCAGATGAAGAAAATACAAAAACAAAAGTGCTGAGCCATGGCAAAGACACCTCGAGAATGAGAGAGGAGGTGCCCTCCTTGCAGAGAGAGGGCCAGTTAATAGAACACTAAATGCTCTTTATCCTTTCATAAAGCGAACATATTTTGACATCAGCACTGCCACAAAAAGGATGTGAACAGACCTGACAGTTTTTTAACTTTATTTGTATTTATTTTGAGTAATGAGAGCTGGGGGCAAGTCACCTCTCTTTTGTTTAAATATAATTAAGATCTCTAATCTTTTTTCAGGTAAACTTGTGTTTTGACCAATTTGTCTACAAGCTGGCGGACCAGATATTTGCATACTACAAAATTATAGCAGGAGGGTAGGTAGTGTGATAGCTGTATTTTTTTTTTTAATTTGTATATTTTGACTGTAGCTGGCTGTGTAATGTACTATAAAATATTGGTGTTTTTTCCCCTCTCCGTAATAGTCTGCTTCTGGATAAGCGATTACGCTCAGAGTGCAAGAATCAGGGGGCATCAATTCACTTGCCATCGTCCAACAGATATGAAACCCTGCTGAAACAGAGACATGTTCAGGTGCGTAAAACTGGAACTGCTGCACTGTAATTAATGGTTTTTAATGTTCCTGATGTACCAGTATCTTATTACTTGCCTGACATCTTCATGCTCTGTTTGATGTCTGTGAGTGTTTTTAATCACTTCAAGAAGTAAATTCACAGCAAAGCAGCAAAATCCTGTTATAGTGTAAATATTTCTAGTAAAACACATGTGCATCTGCACACATGCACACACACAAATATGGTACACGGTAGTATTGTCATATTACTTACATGATGGAGTCAGTTGAAATAAATCACAAATAAATATGGAAACTTCTGGAACTCAGTGGAAACTCAGTTATCTAGCTCAACATTTGATTTGGATTTAAAAGTACCAAATATTATTATGACTCCTGTGATGATGTAAGGTGCCAGTAACTAGGGTACACAATGGATTTATATTTTTTCTGCATGCTACATGTGTGTGTGCAAGTATCATGTATACCTACAGCTTATTTCATCTGTTAACAAACAAAAATTAGTTTGGGGGAAATCACTTAAATTTATACCATTAGTCTCAGTTTTAGAGATGCATCGCAGTCTGAGCTGATACAGTTTTGGGGGTTGTTTCTTCTTCAGCTTCTTGGTAGGTCAATAGACCTCAACCGCCTAATCACTCAGCGGATTTCAGCAGCCATGTATAAGTCATTGGAGCTGGCAATTGGACGATTTGAAAGTGAGGACTTAACTTCCATTGTAGTAAGTATTCTCTGCAGCTGTCTCTTAAAACATTTGTTGAAAGTTTGATGCCAGTATTTCTCTATTATTGCTTTTTATGTAGGGAATGGCTTAAAAGGAATTTGTAAACAATCATGGTTCTTGCACTTAATTTACATTCACTGGCACCAATTTTTTATTGTGTTATGATGCAAAATGAAGACTGAAAAGGTTTCTAAAGGTTTATACCAAATAATTTATTTTTAACTTATAGCAGATGGTCTTTGGTTTGGCTATTGGTGTTATTTGCTCTCACACTTTTATTGAAGAAGTGGGAGTGTTGAATCACTAATCATCATAACTGTTTTGTCCCAAAGATGAGTTTAAATGAGCATAAGCACAGAACAGTTTAGGAAGACTGACCTAAAAATAGCTTGTTTCCAAGGAAAGGTATTTCTCTTCACTCCCCTCTTGTGGAGGTATAAATTCCCTAGTTTATGGAAGGTAAATCAGTAGTTAGACCTGGACAAGTCTTTAACACTGCCAAGGCAAGTGCAGACAGTCAAAAAGCCTGAGGCTGAATTGATTCAGTCTTAGCAGGTTAGTCTAAACTGCATCGATTAAATTGAATCGTAAGTGAAGAGACGTTTACCTTTGATACAGCTATAGCCACAAACCTGCAATGCCTCAGACTAGAAGACAGGGAGCACTACAGCATGGCTCTCTGGCATGTAGCCAGCAAGGGCTGTGTGTTAGCTTCCTCTTCCTGCTGCCCCTGAGGTCTCTGGGATTTGCAGTCCAAAATCATAGCAGCAGGACTCTGCAAGATTGCTCATCACTTCCTCTTCCTTCCAGGTGCCTCTGGGATTTGTAGTCCACAGTTGTAGCTAGCAGTAAGTTTGAGCAGGGGAAGGGGTGTTTAATGCCCCCTCCCTGGTCCCAGACCCCAGCTGGGGTTTGCTGCGGAGGGAGGAGGGGAAGTCTCCCCCCCTCCCCCCCACTCCTGTCATGCAGACTGGGCTGCAGCCCCAGCTGGGCTTGCCCTTTCCACCCCCTTGTCAGCCAGCTGTCATTGCTTCAGCTAGAGAGAAGAGGGATGGAGCCAGCCCTGCTCTCTGGAGCAGAGAGCACAGCCCAGCCCAGGGCTGGAAAGCATGGGGGGTGATTTAACTTGAACCAGGAAGGGGCCTGGGACAGAAGTTCCATAAACCGGTTTGACCCAAATCAGTTAAGTCTGATATTATGTTCAACCAGGTTTGTCTTTAAACCAGTTTCAGCCATTTTGAAACTGGTTTATGTGCACTGAACTTATGTTCTGTTACAGGTTTAAACCAGTTTCTGCTCACTTAAACCGGTTTATATGCAACTTCTGTCCCTAGTCTTTACCAGGTAGCAATACCAGCACAATCCCGTATTGGAAAGGCAGCTTATCCTGGCAGATGGAGTTATTTTGCAGCACAGCTAAGTCAACTGAATGAATAATATCAGCTGTACTAAGGAAGGACTCTCATTGTGAAAACCTGTGTCTATGTGAGAAGCAGTGGGGGATTGTTGCTGGCAGAGTTTCCTTGGTTGGGAGTGTTAGGATTTATTTATTTATTGCCTCCAGACTCTTAACCAAGATAGCTGTTGGGGCAAAACATGTAACACAGTCTTGGTCAAACATAGTAGTATACCATCATGTTGTTGTTTACAGTGTTTGAATGACTTTTCATATGCTGAGGAGATGGAGGTATGCTTTAGAGGCAGCGATGAAGAGGGAAACCCGCCTTCTTCTCCCTTAGAGGAAAGGTGACGTGGTCATATCCTGTGGAGAACTAACCTGTGATGGAGGAAGCTGTGTTTCACTTTTCTTGACCAAAAGAGAGCATCTCATGTTGAAGAGTAGTCTTGGGAGGGCTGGAAATAAATAGCAGATTCTTTAGTGCTTGGATGTTGCTCTCAAGCTGTGAAAAGATGGATAGGAAACAAGGTTTTTCTAAGGATGTGAGTTTGAAATGCCATCTTTCGTCTGAGCAGCTGTGCTACACTTCATGCGTAATTGCAGACCCAAGTCAAACGATCCAGAATCTGAATTCAGCAGGCAGTCTTTCTGGATGCATGAAGCAGAACAGAGGTAACTAGTTCTCTTGCTAGGCAGGTTGGTTCTGTAGTGCTGTCAATAGGAAAAACTTGTTTTTGTCAGTAAAGTAATAGGATCTGACTCATGCCCACACAGGGAGCACATATGTGCAATACCACTGTGTCATTTTTAGTTAGCTTCCTGATTAAAATTTTAATGAAGAAACTCTATTCCCAGAACTCCATTGACAACATAAATTTGACAGATAAACGTGGAATTAACAGACACAATCAGCCGTGTTTATTTCAACTCAACTGAAAACACAGCTGAAAGAGAAGGTCACTATGATCTTTCTTCCCTGTATTGTAAAGTGGAAGGGTAGGAGAGAGACGCTTTCATGAAAAAGAGTTGCTTGGAGTTCTGTGTTCGGTTTTGTTCATCCTAAAATTGCTAAACTGATTGGCCTTGACTGGGTCATCTCCAAATCAAAGAGAGTTATGATGACATCAGAAATACAGCTGAAATTGAAACTATTTAGTGCTGGGCAATAATGCACGTTATGAAACATGGACACTCTCCCATAAAAGAAAAGATTGTATAAGTTGTATGCCTAAAAAAACATGGGCAATGAGAGGCATACAAAATAATGATTCAGACAAGAGAAGTTATACTTCTTTTTATCCTCTTACAATAAAATCACAAAAGAAATACCAGAAATTGAAAGCCAGTCAGTTTTAAAACTAATAAAATATGCTTTGGCATAGCACAACCTGCAGAGTTCATTTCTGGAAGATATTGCTGAGGTGAGCAACTTAAAAAAGAGATGATTCCTATAGATAATGTAACTATTTTCATTAGTTACGCTATGCAATACTACAAAGCTTTGTTGCTTCATGGTATAGGCTGGTTTCTAATTCTAGCAGTTAGAAATGTCTACTATCAAGACATTATTTCATAATTATGTATTTTAGAGATTGATATCTTCATCTGAAACATTTGGCCTTAGTCACTGGCTGAAAACAAGACTCCAAGTTAAATGAGGCCTTGATGTAATATGCTATGACAATTCCTGCCTTTCTGAGAAAAAAATACAAAGCAGTCTTGTTTGTTCTTTTTGTTCTCTCTGGTAGAAGAATAACTTAGTTCACGGAACAAATTGAGCTCAGTTTGATCTTTTTTTGTACATTCTGATATTCTATAGATTCTGATATTCTCAACTCAGGAATGTTTAAAAAAGATCAGCAAGTTGTTTTTACAAGCTCTGTGTCTTGAGGCAGAAAAATCTGCATTCATTCATCTAAACACAGCTCAAGTCCAGGAAGATGTGAAAGAGGCTGCTGGAGAGTGTCAGCAGCTTATGACCTCTTCAGGTTGGAGCCTGAATCTTAAGCACAGTGATCCAGAAAATACCTTGCAGTGATTTCTAAAGCTCATTCATCAGCTTCAAGTTGCAGAATTTTAGACAAGTCTGATGGGTAGTGTCCATTATTAAGGGTTTGCAGCAGTGACCTGTTACGATTCTATTTTTCAGTTATCTATAATTTTGCTAAGCTTTAATTGTAAAACCCCAGACCAAACTCTCCAAGTCTGCCTCTGGTTGATTTTTTTCTTCCTTTCTTCCATCCCAAGTGATTCTGCTACTTTGAAAAGTGGGACGAATTAATTGTTGTGCTTGTGCTTAAATTATGGCAAACTTTTTTTGAACACTGCTGGTACTCTCATTCTGTAGAGAAGGAATATGAAATTTGATGGGATAGCTTTTGGGTGTGATGTGGCTGCTCCTGTCCTTGCAAAAATCTACCCAAATTCTATCAAGTTATAAGTCTTCGAAAAATTGTAGTTCAGGTTGTCATACCCAGGCTTTGTTGCTTTAAAGACTCACATGTTCAACTATCTGTTGACTGAGGTTTTCTGTGTACCCTCCACAGAAAATGACTTAAACATACTTCCTTCCTGCATGGCTCTTAAATCTGACTGCTTTGTATCCCCCAGCCATGCTGAACTATTGAATGTGTTCTAGCATAGGAGTGAAGGGACAAAGGCAAACCTTTTTTGTAACAGGTATGCCCAGCTGCTTTGAGATGGGGTAGGGTCAGGGACTGGAACTGTGAACAGAGTGTCCGTTTCTCCTCTGCTCTCAACAATTTCCTGCTAGCAGCCAAGCAGGGTAGAGGAGAAAGTGGTCTAATTCTCATGCAGAAGGGGACAAAAACAAGACCAGGGCTGAGGCAAAGTAGTAGATTGGAACTGGCAGGACCACAAACTTAGACTTGAGAAGAGTGAGAGAGGAGGTTGGCACTTCCTTCCTTTTGAATACTTAATTTAGCAACCTTGATGTTCATTTAATGCAGTTTTTATGTAGTATGAAGTTTTATTCTAGCGTAGAGGAACAGAAAATATTCAGAGACTGAACACGCTGCCACTCCTTCCTATGAGATAAGTATGATATACAGGACTGTGTGTATTTTTTTTTTTTTTATTTTTTTTTAGCAATATGCTTATACTTTGGTATAAACGGCTCTCAGCTAAAAACTAATTATTTTTTCCAAATAAAATGAGACATTTTGTTAACAGTGGGTGCATGTACGTGAGATGCCTATTGTGGAATTGCCTAATTGGCTCTGAAGTAAAACATCATTGTCTACACGAGTGGTGCTATTAGATTGGAATAAACTAATTAACTCAACCCAACACAAGTACCGTTCTGCAGTGGAGTTATTTACTGTGCCGGAACACGCGTGTAAACGGTGACCAGGGCTGGCTGGGACACAAGGGTGTTGCAGTGTAGTGCAGGGCTAGATGGCAGGCAGCCCTGTAGTACCCTTGTTCCCCAGCCAGCCCCTCCGCAGTATATTGAGCTGGGGTGGAGCAGCTCTAGGCTGGCAGGCTGACCCCCCAGGTCCTCTGCCAGCTGGGGCTGTGCCACCCCAGCTCAATGGGCTGTGGTCCCGAGCATACATGTAAATGCTGTACCTGGGAGCAATAAATTCTGGCACAAACTGTACTAGAGTTTATTGCATCAAATTAATTTCACGTGTTGATTCAACCAGTGGACCTGACCTGAAAAACAACTTTTTACTCATTTTAAAGCTAACCTTCGACTATTTTAAAGGTTGAGCTGTTTTGTGGTAAAGCCCCTGTACTAAAAATTGGCGTCTATAAGGAATGTTAGGAAGGCATTGTGATGGATAACTTGAGGCACAAAAAGATGAATGTGCATGTCTGTTATATTGTCTACCTTTCAGTATGTGGTTGCCTGTCACATTCTAAGAAAATGTTTTGCACTGTGGTTAGGCTGGTGTGGTTACAGAACTATACTATAAACTGTCTTATGTGACAGAAACCAGTGTAGGTTTGCACCATATAGACTGACTAAATCAGAGTTGTATAACATCAGCTATCATAGCAGAGGGCTTACTTTATCAGATGTTGTGAAGGAAGTGTCTACAGTCTGAGACTTGTTATATCAACTCTGGCAGTGCCTAATGTTATATACAGTTGTTATAAGAAGGTAGAAGAAACTGCTTAGTAAAAAAAAAAAATATTTAACTCATTCTCTGGGAAAATTTATCACACTGTTTGCTCGGTAGAGGCTTTTGCCATTTATACACATTCTCCGGGAGGTGGGGAGACAGCTGTAGTTAAAGCCCCACCACCACTGCCGCCATGTTTCAGTATGGTGATGTGGATACACATGATGTTGGGGTCTGCTGGATTAATCAAGTCTGCGCTGTAATTACAGCATGTCAGAGTAGCCTTGATGCACATGTTTAACCTAATTTGTGTTTAACCTAATTCAGCTCCCATTGAGGATGACGGAAATTTTACTGTAGACTTCATGAAATGGAAACATTAGTAATCCAATAATGAGTGCTTCTGAAATATCGACCTGGAAAATAAACAGACTTGAAACAGACTCAGCATCTCATGGCTTTTTCCATAGCATATTTGAGTTTAAAAAAAAAAAGGCAAACAAACATAAACTACTCTTAGATATTCTGGCTCTTCCCAAACTAACAGTTTACCTTTAGAATTGCAGACTTGGGGGAATGAGAGGGAAGGGGCTGAACACGCATAAGATTTATTCTGGAGTAATTTGACTTTAGGATTAAAGTGAAGTGGCCACACACACACTGGTGTAAGTCACTGCAGGGTACAGTTACCTTTCATGAAGTGGAGACTAACTGTATACCAGTGTAAGTTACACTGGTCTATGGTCATGTGTTGGCCCTCAGTCCTTTTCAATCTGGAAAAAAAACCTGTTACTCAATGCAGACCAGTTTCACTGCCTGCTGCCTCGAATCCAAGCTCTGTAGTAACACCTATTTCAGGCAGCTAGCTTAGACTTGGCCATATATCCATTCATCAGGATAGAGAAAAATCCCAGGTAAATTGTTCACTGGAAATGTGTTGCTTCTGAGGAAAGAGATTGTCTTGTAATTGAATCTTCCCAATCTTCTGCTTTATCATTTAGCTTATTCTCTGGGTGTGTGTCGAGTTGTTTTTTTTGGCCATATTTAACATGTGCCTCACCTTTCTCCTCCCTACTTTCTTGTCTTAAATTTTCTCAGGAGCTAGATGGCTTGATAGAGATCAACAAAATGACGCATAAACTACTGAGTAGATACATGACCTTGGACAGCTTTGATGCCATGTTCAGAGAAGCCAATCACAATGTGTCGGCTCCCTATGGAAGAATCACTCTTCATGTCTTCTGGGAACTCAACTATGATTTCCTTCCAAACTACTGCTACAATGGGTCCACTAACAGGTTAGCATTGTGGCCTTTGAATGAATTGTTTTGGGGAGTCCAGTTGTATCAGCAGGATGAAGCATACAGTAGGGTTTTGTACTCCAGTGTTAAACACGGACTGATACCAGTCTGTTTTTGGCAGTGTCTTAAAAACAAAACAAAAAGAAACAACCTTTTTAAAAAAATTTATACTCAAATACAATCCTAATACTGAATTTGCATTACTGTTGCAATTAGTTTGTACAAAATGTGAATGGTTAGGATTGTTCACAGTAAGAGAGAAGATTGAATGCAAGTGACGTCTGTGACAATTCATCTCTCACCATCCTAACATCTTTCAGAGTAAATGCTGGAGGAAAAGGCCTCCATTCTCTTCATATACATTTTCTGGTACCTTATCTGTGTAAAAGGAAATACACCAATTCAAATACCTTAGCTTTCTTATGTTGGGATTCATGTGCATCTCTGTTATGCTTTTCTTCTCTGTCACAGTAGAACCTAACCTCCAACGTCCTAATTCTGTCCTTTTTTTTTTTTTGGTTTTTAAGGTGTTATCTAAAATGTTCTCTAGAGCAGGGGCTCTCAGCTTTTATGGCCCTGTGGGCTGGGTGAATGGTGGTGTGCCAGTTCAAGCCAGATCTGGTGTGCTGGCCTAGCTGCAGTGGGTCTGACTACATGCTGGCCCAACCCTGCACACTGGATCTGGAAATTTGGCAGCAGGGGAGTTGCCAATGCTCCTCCTGCTGACAAATTTTCAGACCTATAGGGAGGCCTTTGGGCTCAGTGACATGGCCTGGGAGGCTGAAAGTTGAGTACCACTGCTGTAGTTTAGAATAAGAATTATCTAAAAACAGTTCAAATGATATGTCAACGATAAATTTTGTAAACAAAATTCTGTAGTAAAACCTCTTCAAGGGTAAGGAAAATGATTTCCCTTTGGTTCTGCTTTGAGGAGCAGGATGGATTACTGGGTTGACACAAAATTCAGTGCTTGTGCAGCAAAATGATGTGCAGCAAAATATACTTTTCTTTATATTTGGCTATGTTGGCGCATGTTTTATCAGTTGTATGTTTTTGCCTTTAGCCAGGAGGGAAAGTACTATTTTCTAGTTGACTGCAGTACAGTGCTTTCAAGTATAAAGGCGCTCTTTCTGTTGTTACTATTTTTTGCTACAAAACTGGTTGTTATAGCATTGCAGAATTCCCAGCAATCAAAACTGCATCCTTTAGAGAAACTATAATTCATATGGAGCCTAGCAGTAGATTTGCACACTTGTTTCTGTTGAACATAGCTTCTGTTGCTCATTCACTTGTGCTTAGGGTAATGCACGCTATAATTTTCTTGTATCATGGCAGACTTGTTCTATAGGTCCTCGTTGCTGCTGCCCATACTTTAATAAGCAGAATGGCGGAGTGCAGGGTGGAAGGGCAAGATGTGAATTACAAGATACTTGAGTCCTGTTGAGGACACTTCACACTCGGTTTTGTTTTGTTTGTTTGTTTGAATTGAACGTATTGCATTTATTTATCAATTTGTGGTTGTGGCAGTGTTATTATCCCCGTGAGTGAAATACAATGAGAAACCTGCTGACCATGAAATGATGGTAAGATGGTATTGAATTACTAGTCATAGGAAGGAATG